ACAGTGAAGAAAAAGACATGTTTTCACTGTGGAACACCTGGACACATCGCCAGATATTGTTCTAATCGCGCATACGTTCCCTACTATGCACAAGGCTGGCAGAACGCGCCAAGAGGGAGATACTTCAAAAGAAACCCCTCAAGGTCACGTTCAGACCATGATGACTGGAACGCGTCGAAGGCCAAGAATCAAAATCCAAAGGACAAGAAGGGAATGCCGGCCAAGAAGCCCAATCCAAGAGATGCTCCAGTGAAACAAAGACCGGTTAGGTCAAAGTCATCTCAACGGTCGACATCAAGTTCAAAATCAAGTACCGAGCCACCCATCGGATCGAAAAAGAAATGGGTTAAACCCAACTACAAATGGGTTCCAAAGGCTCACTCTCCCAAATCTTCTAACGATTCTAATGTTTCTTCATCTTCTGTTTGTGATAAACAGGATATGTCATGGGAGAGAGTACCGTGCAAGGATGAAAAAGGTCAACCCAGTTTCAAAATGGACTGGGTTCCAAAGACCAACTAATCCCGCTTTGTGTCGGAGTAGCTATGGAGGCATATCATCAGACTTCGGTTTGTTGGTAGTGGCTGTTCCAGGCACATGATAGGGGACATCTCTCAACTGTACAACATTCATAACTTTGTTTGGGAGTATGTGTCCTTTGCGGGAAAGGAAGAAAAGAAGGGATCACATATGGGGTTAGTGCTTAATGACATGAAGAATTTTTGGATCTGTTCTGAGATTATACGTGCAGTTCTCAGACCTTCTGGATGCAAATTCAATCGGTGACTTACGGTTTGAGTTTTCTTCTTTATACTCCTGAGTTTTTCTTAAGCTGATTCGCTTTAAAGACAAATTTTTGTTTTAGGATAGTTTAAATTTGTGCATTTACTTTCTTTTCTCTCCTATGCACAAATTTAGGGGGAGAAATAAAAACAAAACAAAAATTAGAAAATTTTAAAAAATCCAAAAACATTAGAAAATCATAAAATCAAAAAAAAATATGTTGGTTATGGAATGTGCTTGAGGGAGATGTTTTGGGAAGTGATATAATCATGTGATAACAGGCAATCTGAATCTGTGTAAGGGACTGAATCTGAATTGTCTAGGCTCTATGTTCGATGCGCTGGTAGGCACGAGAGATTAAAATGGAATTGACTAGGCTTGGTGAACTTAAGGAATCTAGAGACTTGAAAAATCTTGACCTAGATAGATCCATTTAGCCTGACAATACGACGCTCAGATAGGTTGAGCAGGGAGATATACATGATAATCCACCGGTCACATTAAAGTAATTCGTATCTAGAACTGTGGTTTAACTCTTCCTCGATGTGCGGATTCTGTCCTTAATTCCGGTATTGATGGGGAGAATGGGGAATTCCGATAAAGTAGGTCTGTAGGAAATTATTTTCTTGCTTTCTTTCTGTTAGTCATATGTTGCCTCCTCTGCGTGATTGAAATACATCCGACCTGGACTGCAACATATGTAACTCTACTTCTCTGCATCCTCTATTTATGCAATTCTTTCTGTCTGTTAGCCATATGTTGTCTCCTTTGCATGATTAACCATCCGACCTGGTACACAACATATTCACCATTCTACTTCTCAATCCCTCTAAATCTGGTTAGTCATATGTTTCACCCTCTGCGAGATTGGAAGAGATCCGACCTGGGTGTATAGCATATGCATTCTAAATCTGACTTCTCTCATAATAATTGTCTGCTCACCTAAAGTAACGAGTACTTTGGAAGTTCCTGATTATTGGGGTATGTCAGGAAGCGGGAAACATGTTGTAGTACATTTAAAATTGAACAATCACTAGGTTGTCTGTAGATCTCGCTGCTCAATTTAGGTGGACAACAATATCTTTGGTCGTCATCAGCTGAATGGTCCTTAAGGAATATTATCTAGGATCTTAGGATCACATTGTCTTGTCACTTATAGTATGTCCTAATTTTGTCACAATCTCTCGTGTTTAAGTGGGCCACAATATCGGCGATTGACCAGATCTATTCATGAATGGAGAGGTACTGACAAACGGATAAAGGCTGTCTAAAAACTTTGATCCCAAATCACTCTTAAAGTTAGATATCATTTTATTTTTGTTAAATTTGTTCATAGTTTCTTCTAATTTAAATATTAGGGGAGAATTAAAAATTTTAAAAACCAAACAAAAATCATAAAATTAAAAATCCAAAAATAGTGTTATTTCTGTTTTATTTCTTTTTCAGAAAATATGAAAAACCCAAAAATATTGTGTGCTAAATTTTTCTTTTAGTTTTGTTTTGTCTTGAATAGTGAATTCAGGTGAAGATGAAACTCATGGAAGTTTGTGTTGAAGATTTCTGAGCCAAGGCTTCATCCGTGATCATTGAAGAATTCTCATTTGAAGGAGCAAGAAATGAAGATTATTCTTTCGACATTCAATCTTTCAACCCCAGAAGCAAGGTGAAGCTGCACTTGAAGATTAGGTGACGGATTGCATTGAATCCTCCTCAATCAGTCTGCTGCTATCTATGAACCTGCTGAAGTGATCCAGAAGATTTGTTCTCTCTGATGTTCTCTCTGAAGATTCTCAAACTGAAAGCGCTATCTTTCAAGAATCAGTACGTCAAGCCTCCTCACCCAATGTGCGTTCAATGTCAAATCTTGAAGAAATGCCCAAGTGCTCAAGATGAAGTCATTCATTGAAGATAAATGCTGAAGCCAAGCTTACAATGAAGATTAACAAGAAAAGCCAGCTACTTTTTAGGGGGAGCTTGTTAGGTCATTTAAGAAAAGAAAAGAAAGCTATAAACCAAGGGGGAGATTGTTGGGTCAAAAATATGGTTTATACTTTGCTTTTCTAAGCATTTATTGTTTTTATTATTTGGGCCAAAAATAGTATAGGATTAATTGTAGCTTGGACCGAGCATTGGATTATTTGTATTTTGGGCTTGGCCTTAGGTCCATATATATATATATATATATATATATATATATATATATATATATATAATATATATATATATATATATATATATATATATATATATATATATATAGGGTGAGGAGTGCATGTGAAGAACGAACACTAGAGGAGCTTAAGTGTGTGCATTTGAAGGTGTTCTAGAGAGAGAGAAAAGAGAGAGTGTGTTAGTATGTGTGAATCTTGTATTCGGATCTTCATTCATATCAATACATACAAGATTCATCATCTTCTTCTTCTCCTTCTCTTCTATTTGATCTGACATCATCCGTTTGATTGGGATTCCGCACCATCAAACGGATCTGATTGATACACAAGCAGCTTGGGGACTTACATTATGTCAGTTGCATGATCTCATAACACCGTAGCTCCCTTAGTGGCGTCGTATGGACTATTACCGGCCTCTATGTGGTGCTGGATTTTACAATCCCGTGCATTGTTGACGGGACCGCCCCAAATTTTAGTAGGACTGTCCTCCCAAGGATAATATTGTGTTCTGTCGGGTGCCTTATCACAACGAAGTCTATTAGGGTTGTCGTCCTTCTTGCTTTGTCGTGACTGGTCAATGTGAAAGGCAGATGGATTGTCCCCAGAGGCCATAGGTTGTGCCCTGTAAAGCGTTTTAGCCTTCCTGTGGTAGGCTTGAGGTTCTCCTTCCATCTGTCGGGGAGGAGGCGAAAGCAGTGTTCGTAAATAATATCCGCCGAGCTACCCGTGTCAATGTATACCCTGTGAATCGTCACATTCCTGATAGACCCTTGAATTATGACTGGGTCATCACCCCACTAGTCCTTCGGGCAGGGGTCCTTTACTAAAAATGTGAGCCCATGCATTGACCTGGTGAGGCCCTGCATGTCATCATGTGCTTCTTGCCTTTCCCGCTTGGACCGTACCATTAGGATTTCATGGGTTTGGTTGCGCTCTCTCATTGCATCTTTGGCGTTCTCAGCGTCGAATTTGGCGCGAAGACTTCATGCCACCTGGACGAGGTTTCCCTTCAGTTGTTTTTCTTCTATCTCCTTCTTCAACACCGAGCAATTGACTATGTCGTGAGTTTTGCTCTTGTGGTACTCGCAGAATCGTCCTTTCACTCCCTTTGATGGTTGTTTGTCAGAGACCGCATAGACGTCCGACCGCCTACCGCGCCTCTCGTCCCTTGAGAATGGCCTGAAGCGTCCCTGCAAACGCTTCCCTCGCCCAAAGTGTCTGCTTCCACTTTGGGTTTCTGGGTGAGGTGGCGGGCTATGGCGTTTCGTGGCCGAGGCGGTCATGGCATTTAGATATGATTGTTTCGGCGGTTCCCCTTCTTCTTACCTTAGATATCGTTCCACCTTCTCTTTTAGCTCCGCCCGTATTTATGGCTTCTTTCCCATAAGCTTTTGAGATAGAGGGCCTGGAAAGAGGCCCCATGTGAAGGCGCCTGCTATTAATCCTTCGTCATGGCCCGGGACGTCTAGCATGGTGTTGGTGAACCTAGTGAAATATTCTCTGACCGTTTCTCCTTCCTTCTGTTTGCAGCCAATGATTGAGTGCGAATCTCCCTTATACTTCCTCAAATGCATGAAATTTTTCAAGATTAGGTACTTTAATTGCCCGAAGTTGTATATGCTTCCTGGTCTCAACGTCTTGAACTAAGTTCCTGCGTTGCCGTCTAAGGTTGTTGGGAAGTACGTACAACAGAATCGCTCATCCAGCTTGAGCGACGTCGTCGTCCACTCGTACGTGTCAATATGGCTATCAGGTTATGTAGTTCCGTTATAGATCTTTAGGTGTGGCCATTTTGCTGTGTTTAGGATTTCGTAGTCTAGAAGCTCCATGGCGAACGGAGATGTCACGCTACGCGATAGACAGTCTTGGTTTGGGATGGGGAGAGCACCCTGTGAGTTGTATTGTTGAGCCATGGCATGTGGATGCATATATGTGCTGTTATAGGGTGAGTAATAGCTGGGGTTGGGCCCGTAGAATGCTTGGTGTGGAAATGGTAAGGTTAGCATTTGGGTGGACAGTATGGGCGAGTTTTGTGTGTAGAGATTATTAGGCATAATCTGCTGGTAATGTGGGATCGCAGAGGCAAGAGGGATGTTTGTTCGAAATGGGGGGTGTCGGGAAGGCTATTGTTTGATTTCTGTCCGCTTGGTCTAGCAGTGACATTTGGAAAGGCACTGGCGTTTCTACCGCCATCTGGGCTATTGGTGGTGAGAGAAACGTTGGTTGTATCCCTATCGTCTGGTTTGGCGGTGGTGATGTCTGGAAAACCACCGGTTGTGTGCCTGTCATCTGGTTCGACAGTAGTGGTGTCTGGAAAACCACCGATTGTGTAGTTGTCATGTGGTTTGGCGGTGGTGGTGTCTGGAAAACCACCGGTTGTGCACCTGTCACCCGGTTTGTCGATGATTGTTGAAAGAGAGTCGGTGTGGCGCTGTGGTCTCCAACCGCCGACGACATCATACCGGTTGACACTGTTGGGATTTGGGATGTCTGCGTCAGAACGCTTGTTGTTGACACAGCTGCGGAAGGAGGTTGTCCTCCGTCAGCTGGTTGCTCTTGTCCAGCCGGTGGTACGACAGCTACCACTGAACCGCCTTCGTTTGACATTTCTCCGGTGATTATCGTGGAAGGCGGAGTACGGGTTTGTTTCTGGAGGATGACTTTGAGGGCGAAGTCTGATTCTAATGGGGTAGAATTGTAACATCCCGAGTCCCAGGTATATTATTTTAATTATTTTATATCCATTTTGAAAAGGGAACTCGACGAGTTCAAGGCCACAACTCGTCGAGTAGAATTTGAGATAGCCACGGGACTTTTAGAGTCTACTCGATGATTCGGAGGACCCCAACTCGACGAGTAGGTGCTGAGTGAGAAAACCCTAATTTTCAGGGTTTGTGTCCTATTTAAAGGACCTTAAGCCCTCATTTCCGCCTCCTTTATCATCTGATGTGGGCATATTTAGTTATAAAATTCATGCATTATCTTAATACTTTATGTTGTTTTTTGTCTCATTTAATGAACAAAAGGTGCTTAATTAGTTTAGAATTTCATTTTTCAGCAATAATGACATGATCGGAAGGAAAAGGAAGCGGAGGTAGCGATTGGAGGCTTGGATCTTGGATTTTGAAGAAAGAAGGATGTTGCTGGACAGCTTGACCCCTCGTCAATGTTTTGGCCATATCTCATGAACCGTAACTCCGATTGACGAGATGCAAAATGTTCTGAAAACTAGACACAATTTCGGACGACTTTCGTGTTTTGAGAAAATGCTGATTCCAAACAGACTCGACGATTTGGGCCTCAACTCGACGAGTCACGTCGAACTTTCATGATTCTGAAGTCGCTGACTTGCCGTACACGAGTTTTAAGTGACGGACTCGTCGAGTAGGTCACTGGACTCGACGAGTCACCTCTGTTTTGTGAAAATCTATATAAAGGGCGTTCCTGCCCGATACCCTAGCATATAGATGAACCCTTGGAGGCCAATTGTCGACTAAAGGTGCTGCTGGAGCGTAGGAAGCAAAGGAATCAACCCTACATTCAATTTTAAGGAGAATCAAGGCAAAATCAAGTTTACTCTTTACCTAATCTCTTGTTTGAACTATGTTTTAACCAATTGATTTCGTTTTTGAGCTTGTTTCTGCTGTAATCATGAGCTAAAACTCATACCTTCTGTTTAGGATATATGATTTTGTGATTATGGTTTGATTTTGTGGTTGGATTAATTTAATTTGGTGAACTTGTTTTATTAAGCTTGTTAAAGAACCTTATGCATTAACCATAACTATTTTCTGTTAATAGCTAAGTAATTAAGCTGCATGAACATCTCTTAATTGTTTATCTCATATGATTTATGTGAACACATTGCTATATGCCTAGGAATAGTGAATATGAAACTAGGATTAACTAGAGAATGGGTAAATTAATGTGTGAGCTTGTGTGATACACCATCAACAAGAGGTTAATTGAATCATCAATTTAATTAGTCAATTACAAGTCTTATTTAACCCGAATAATTAAACTAGGGAATTTATTACTTTAATCACTTGATCACTGCTTGAATTAATTTGTTTTCTTAGGACTAGTAATAGCGAACGTGAACCTAATCACACTAATCGGTAGCCAATGCCAATTAATCCATTGCACTTGTCATAAAATCAACCGTAGGAATAAATGATTCAAACCTAAACAGAAGTCTCCTTAATTATTGAATTTAGTTGATTTTTATTTGCGTAGCTCTTTGTTTCTTAGTTTAAGTTTTAATTAATTGTTTAAGTTTCTAGTCTTGCAAAACTAGAGAAAACCCCTTTCTATTACTTGTTTTATTTAGATAATATTAGCATTTATTTTAATTGTTTACCGTTCCCTGTGTTCGATACCCTACTTACCTGAACTAAACTGCTAATCGATAGGTACACTGCTTTTCCTGTGTTTGTCTTTGTGTTTAAGTTAGTAGGATTAAAACTAGTTGGTTTTACACACATCAAGTTTTTGGCGCCGTTGCCGGGGAACGGCTCTCAAAATTAATTTTAATTGCTAGTATTATCGATCCTTTGTGTGAGATTTATCTCATATAAAGTTACGAGTTTTTTTTGTTTTTAATATTTATTATGTATTTTCCAAATCTCGATGCTTTTGATGCTTTTCTTGAGGAAGTAGTACATGAAATTGAGCAAGAAGATGAGGAGTATGACTCAGATGATGATTTGAAGGAATTTGGAAGATGGTTAGATAACATCTTGCCTAATGAACAAGAGAAATCTGAGTTACAAGAGCTAGAGTTAAAAGATGAAGATTTTAATCCAGAAAAAGATTTCGAGGAGCTGGAAAGATTGCTAGCAGAGAGGTCAGATGAAGAACAAGAAAAACCTGAGTTGCAGGAACCAAGCCGTGGTTTGACCATTACCACGGCGTGGCCCCCTGTTCTTCCGGTTTGTGTTTCGAAGCATGGGGTGACGACTCCAACTTTGGAGAATGTTCTGAAGCACGATCCATTTTTGATTAGTATCAAACCGGTTCCAACCCTTATCAAGATTCTTGGGTTATATGAATTGAAGCTCGTTTGGCCAATTTTTGAAGCAAAGAGCCAAATTTTACGAATTGGTCCACCAAAGAAGATATTCAATGCAACGGATGGATTGGCATTGAGTTTATTGGAAGTTTATTAAGTTGAGAGTCCAGCTAAAGACTCGCACAAAAAGAAGCGCTTGCGGGAGGCAACCCGTCATTAGAGTTTGCTTTTCTTTTTCATTCTAAACTTCTAGTATTTAGGGATAATTTAGGATTTTTATTTTGATGCTTTTTTTTATTACTTGATATTTGTTTTTGATCTTTTCAGTTTGAGTGTAAGGATGCATGCGAGAGTCTAGAGTCAAGGATAACCAAGGGAAAAATCGAGTCCAGGCACGAGAGAAAACAAAGTTTTGAGTCTAATTAGGAGTCCGATGATGAAAGAGGTTATTAAGAGCTCATTTACTAAAGAAAAAATGGGGAAAGTATCAATTTAATATTCCCCACACACATCAGAATCGGACCTGGAGCAGAAACATTTTTTTCCCATACAGCGATGGACTCGGCGAGTGCACTTACCTACTTGATGAGTCCCAATATAAAAACTCGACTTCTGCCAGTATTACGCTACAACTCAGCGAGCCACACTACAAACTCGACGAGTTGATCCTTATTTTGTCTCTCAAGCTGATGATTTGATAATATTTCATACGGCAATTGGCTACATTTTTTAAGAACATTTTCCATGCGTTTCCGAGAGTTTTTCCCTTATATTTGGAGCTTTTATAAAGACTGTACCACACAAGATTTTGACACCCAAGGCATGGATGAGTTGTTCCCATGCCAAAGTCATCTGAAGATGGAGCTCAAAAGAAGAAAGATCACCCTCGCAACTACTATCCCAGGGGAGTTTGTTCCAATTCCCTCTTTATTTTTATGTTGTCTTATTCATGCATAATATGCAATGGGGACATTGCATAAATTAAGTGTGGGGTAGGGGGTTGGTTATATTTAGTTAAAATTTAGATTAATTTTAAAAATTTGCATAAAATTGCTAGGGCTAATTTAGATATTTTGGTAAAAACAATTAGAAACCATGCTAGTATTATATTTGATGATTCCATGAGGACCCAAATGTTTAGTTGAGCCTATATACGTTATAATGCATTTGTGGCCCCCTTTATTCTAGTGAAATCATGGGACAAAAACACAACCTCGCTTAGTTTGAGGGATGCAATATGTTTAGCATCGTGTACCAGAAATGTATCCAGGAAAATTTTTATCTTTAATCAATAAAGGTTGAAGTTGAGCGCCTCTGCTTAAGCATGTAGGTTTTGAGTAGAAAAAGTGAGATATACATTTAAAAAAAAGAGAGAAATTACAAAAAAGTTGAAGAATTTTTGGAGCTATCAAGTTTAAAGTGAAGATCAAAAGATCAAAGTTCTGAAGAAATTTAAAAAAAAAAGTTGAAGATACCAAAAAATCATAAAGGTGGTGAATTCAAAGAAATCAAGATGAAATAACAAAGAAGTGAAGAATTCCGAAAATAGCTCCATAGTGGTATCGAAAAGTTGTAATTTTCTAGATTCTGTACGCTTGGGTTGCTCAACCAAAAATACCTTGAGGCTAGGAGGTTTTCTGCGGATGGATTCGGAGGGATGCATAAAATGAGCATTGTTCAAAAGAAGTGGGTCAGTGTTTATGAGGATTGTGAGTATTTAGAATTAGGGGGGGTCCTTAGGAAAAAATTTTAGACACAAATGCATGCGTTGCGGTCTTGGCATAATGGCTGGGTTCAATTGGGATTGTCTTATGTAATATTAGTGTACTAAAATCCAGTTTTGCTTGGGGGCAAGCAAAAGTCAAGTGTGGGGTATTTTGATATGGGCATATTTAGTTATAAAATTCATGCATTATCTTAATACTTTATGTTGTTTTTGTCTCATTTAATGAAAAAAAGGTGCTTAATTAAATTAGAATTTCATTTTTAAGCAATAATGACATGCTCGGAAGGAAAAGGAAGCGGAGCTAGCGATTGGAGGCTTGGATCTTGGATTTTGAAGAAAGAAAGATGTTGCTGGACAGCTTGACCCATCGTCAGTGTTTTGGTCATATCTCATGAACCGTAACTCCGATTGACGAGATTCAAAATGTTCTGAAAGCTAGACACAATTTCGGACGACTTTCGCGTTTTGAGAAAATGCTGATTCCAAACGGACTCGACGAGTTGGGCCTCAACTCGACGAGTCACGTCGAACTTTCGCGATTCTGGAGTCATTGACTTGCCGTACACGAGTTTTAAGTGACAGACTCGCCGAGTAGGTCACTGGACTCGACGAGTCACCTTTGTTTTGTGAAAATCTATATAAAGGGCATTCCTGCCCGATACCCTAGCATATAGATGAACCCTTGGAGGCCAATTGTCGACTAAAGGTGCTGCTGGAGCGTGGGAAGCAAAGGAATCAACCCTACATTCAATTTTAAGGAGAATCAAGGCAAAATCAAGTTTACTCTTTACCTAATCTCTGGTTTGAACTATGTTTTTACCAATTGATTTCGTTTTTGAGCTTGTTTCTGCTGTAATCATGAGCTAAAAC